TGGCTGCCTGCCACCTCTGCTGCCTCTTTGGTGCGGTGCCTACCCTACACTAATGCGCTGGTGCATACTGCACTGCTGTAGTACCTGGTACTGGTGTACGTTGTCCTTCGATTTTTTATTTTTTTTGTGGGAATATATATGTGTTTGTTTTTCGCCCCCCGTCTTGCTGCACCCCCTGGGGTGTGGTGCAGGGCGGGGGATGCCTGGTCGGCGGGAACCCGGCACGGAACCCTCCGGCGTTGTAGGCGGGTGTGGGAAGCGTTCCCCGTTCTCCTTTTATTTTATTTTGATCGGTCTCCTCGACGCTCTTTCTCGTTTGGTGCGGTAGCTGGTCTTTCTATCATTTTGTTTCTCTCCCGAGTGGTTTTTGTACCCTATTTTTTTCTGTTTCTTCGTGGGGTCGTGTATGCCGGGTTTTGAGACCACGGGCTCCCAATCTTTTTTTTTTTAGAGCTAATGTGAGAAACAACAACAACAACAACAACAACAAACGTCTGCATATACCCAAACCTATCATATCTGCGTACCCCCTCGGATATCTCGGAGATCTGTATCCTGCCGAGTACATACACAAACATCATCTGTGGCAGATTTTGGGCGATGGAATATAAATGTATGTGTGACCAGCGAAGTCAGCCCCGAAGTGTGCCGTTCATGCCCTCCCTCACACGGGACTGCTGTTTGTGGTCTTTCTCGCCTTCCTTCTTTCCTCCGCCCTTGCTGTGAAGTACACACGTACGTTCGTTGCGATCGGGCTACTCGTTCCGGCAGGACAAACATCCCAACCAATGACCTCTAATGCAATTGATTGTGGGCGAGCTTGAAGTGACACTTGACAGTGCCGAGGTGGGGAAAGAAAGGCGGCGTGCTCCCTCGTCACATTAATCTACTACCTCCAAACGAATGACGAGCGAGGCGGACTGTCTCGGGTGAGGGAGGAAGAAGCACAGACAGGATGTTTGTTCGTATGACGACGGTTTCCTGACGTCTGTGGCGGCGGGCAAGAGGCAGGCATGTACAGCAGAGGTCCCTTTTTAGTGCCGGGGTGTGCGCCGAAATTTCATCGGCACTAAACCGGACACCGGCACTACTCGAAGTACAGAACGACTTGGCATTCCAGTGTGTGCGAGCCGAAAACACCGGGCACTATAACAGCAACCAGCACTATTCAACCGGCACTAAACAGGGACCTCTACTGTATTGGATATATATTCTGAGTCAGGCTTCGGCGAAAACTTTTGGTGCATGTGTTGAAGGCACCGTGTACGTCTTCGAGTGAATCCGCGGCGGATGTGTCTCCTTGACATGGCATGGATGGTGGATATACAAGCAAAGCAGGCAACGTCAGTCAACCAAATTGCCCCGGCGTCGCTTGTCACTCATTTAGACACGAGCACAACACCTGATACTACCTGTGCTCGTGCTAGGAGATGAGTTAGTTGAACGTGGTCGGTGGTGTTCGTGTACGAAGTTTCTCACAAGTGCACCGTCTCTTGACGGCAAGACATTTGGTAACTACGGCATCTGGAGCTCTGTGTCCGTATGATGCATGAAATAATGTTGGGTGGATATGTTTCGCGCCACACTCAACCAAGAACTTGAGGCTTGAGGGACTTTGCGCATGACTGAGACTAGGAGGCTAGAGCCTTGGAGCGGCAATTTGAAGCCAGGGGAGGGTGAGCAGGCCAAACTCTTGATTTTCAAGTCAAACATGCTTGCGATACTTGCACAGGAAGGTGTTCATGAGGTCATGATGAGTGATGAGGACATTCATGTTGGTAAAGATGGAGTAGACAAGGCTGACCTGAAGAGAAAGTACGGGGAACAAAAGGTGAACAAGGCGATAGCGGCATGGAACTTGCTAATCACAACAGTGACTTACCTGCCAATCTTACCCAGATCATCTCACATGGTAGCCCGAGTAGAGGGTGGAAAATTTTCCTCGAGCACTATTAATACTACGAGCCCCAAGCTCGTGAAGAAAAAACACGCCTTTCATCAGAATATCACGGCATTAGGATCAAAAAAGGAGAGACTGCCCAGGAGTACTTCAGTAGGTTTACCGATTTGCGAAACCTACTACTAGCCTCGTACGGCGTGACTATTACTGATGATGATGCGAACAGCCACTTGGTTTTCAACCTGTCGTCCGACGATGATGTAGTCTAGAGAGAGAATGCTGACCAATATGGACATGTTGACTCGGCAGCAGAAGATCGAGAGGGCTGTGAGGAGTACCTATGCGGATCGCATGCGCGCCCGGAGGAGGAGCAGACGAATGGCGTGGGGCACGCTTTCGTCGCTTCCGGTGCACCCCGGGGCGACGGAGGTGTCCAAAATGAGTCGAGTGGGAACGGCGGCGGACGGCACAGGTGGCGGTCGGAGTAGGAGCACCGAAGCCAGAGGAGACAAGAGCTGCGAGGTCCACCCGTGGGCGTTTCACACCAACGCAGAGTGCGATGCTCAGAGGAAGCAGCGAGAGCGGAAGCAGCGGGCCCAGCAGCAACAGCAGCCCCAGCAGCAACAGCCGCCCCAGCAGTAACAGCAGCCCCAGCAGCAACCGTGACAGCCACAGCATCAGCAGCAGCCGCAGCAGTACCAGCAGCCTCACCATCAGCANCGCTTTCGTCGCTTCCGGTGCACCCCGGGGCGACGGAGGTGTCCAAAATGAGTCGAGTGGGAACGGCGGCGGAC